TACTTGATCCCTGACATTTTTCAGGTGGAACCTCAACTTCTGCTTTATATAGTGCTTGCCACACTGCTGCTGCCCCTTCCCCCACTCATTCAGGGGAAGTCTCTCTGATCAGAATATCATCTATATATTGGTACAGTTTCCCAAGGAAGTGAGAAGTCTGTAAAAGTTCAAAAACTGCAGCATGAGCAACCAGAGGTGAATGTTTATATGGCTGTGGGAGTCTGTTAAGGGTATATTGTATACATTCCCAAGTGAAAGCAAGTTGCTCTTTATTCTGCTCCTGCAAGGGGACGATAAAGAACATACCTTTCATGTCTTGTACCACGTTCCATGGGTGTGTGGCTGTTTGTGGCATAGCTGTTAAACTTGCAATATTGGGTACTGCAGCCGTTGGCAGAGCTGTGCTGGCATGATCTACTGTCAGGTGCCATCTCCCATCCAGCTTTTGGACTGGCCAGACGGGAATTGTATGGGGAATGGGTTTTGGAAATAATGTACCATTTTTCCAAGTCTGCTATTATGTCAGAAATTCAATTTTGTGCCACAGCAGAAATCAGATACTGTGGTACATTAGTAGTTTGCGAGCTGGGGAGCGCAGGAGCTGTGCAGAGTACATGCACTGTGGCCTCCCAGTTTCTACCAGGGTTGGGGTCTGTAGTTGAACTGGAGGACCACATGCTGCCATCTGGCAAGCACCAGTTTTGTCCAGTCAAAACACTGAAACAGAAAATATTTTCACTGGGCTTTTTAACTGCAAAACCAGTAGATGTCATGCATTTCTTGCCTGGGAGCTATAAATTAAATTTTGTGGTGCTCCATTCACCCCAGTGACTTTAACTCTTCTCCATCTGGGTCGCGCACCCAGCTTCTCTGCCTCCTGTTGTGTTAGTATTGAAATTTGTGCTCTCATATCTATTAGTAATTTCACTAGTTGTTATTGAGGACAAACTGGAATCAAAATCTAAGTGCCCCCTTCATTTAGTGACTTTAATATGGCATAATTTACTGTGGCGGATATTGGGGTATGACCTGTGTGCGCATAGCTTGTACACAGGTGGCTTTCGTGACAGCAGTGGATGGGAATGGATGGGAATTATAGAAGGCTTACCTCATTCCAGGGTGCCTATTCCCCCTGCCCAATAAGCTACCATACAGGTGATAGAATGGGTTTAATTTTCAGATCCAAGGTTTAAGAAGACTCCTGGACCCCAATAACCATTTGCTTCATCTCCACTGAACTTTATTTGGTCATTGCTGCTCAGGCAGACATGCCATGAATATTCAGTTTCACCTGGCTTTCTGCCTTATTTCTCTTGTAAATCTGCCAGTTGCAGTGGATCCCTAAAGGGGGCCTATAGGAAAGATGGGGAAAATCTTTTTAGTAGGGCCAGCTGTGACAGGACAAGGGGTAATGGTTTTAAACTAAAACAGGGTAGGTTTAGACTAGATATAAGGAAGAAATTCTTTACAATGAGGGCGGTGAAACACTGGAACAGGTTGCCCAGAGAGGTAGTGGAGGCCCCATCCCTGGAAACATTCACGGTCAGGCTGGACGGGGCTCTGAGCAACCTGATCTAGTTAGCGATGTCCCTGCTCCTGCAGGGGGGTTGGACTAGATGGCCTCTAGGGGTCCCTTCCAACCCAAAACATTCTATGATTCTATGATTCTATATCACAGAGCACCACCTGGAGGCCATTCAGAGTGTTTGCTTTAGTGATGGGTCTAGCCTCATATTCAGGGGTTTCTGAGGGGAGCAGGGGGGGAATATTTTCCTCATTGTCATCATCAGGATCGCCCCAAATATTGCTATCCTGATTCTCTGGGGATACTATTAGTTTCCTAAGTTGCCTGCATGAACATTATCCCAACCTTTTCTTCCTAATTTTGTTTTTTTCTCCTTTTCTTCCTGTAACTGCTTCTGTAGCTGCTCTTTTTGTAAGGACAGTAATAACTCATCTGCCTTCCTGCCTTTTATTTCTTCTCTTAGATCTTATTTCCTCCTATTACTATGTTTCCTATACTGACAGGTGGCTTCTAGGCAGGTGCCTAACATCTTACAAATCATTTCCTTTCCTTTACCATCTTTAGCATTTCCTCTTGCTAATTTTAATTGTCCTTTGATGGCACCCTAGTCATGCCAATGTTCACGAGCCCATTCTAATGAGCATTTGGGTCTCAGACTTATTCCATGCCTCTGTAAGTAATCAGTGATACTACTGTCCGTCCTGCTGACTAGGCCAAGTTGTCACAGGGGGGATTTAGACTGATTAAAGAACCACTGCCAAGGTACCAGCAAAAGTAGTTTTATTGAAATGTGATGTTGTAAAAGTGAGACTTAACAAGGTTCGATGGCAAGGTTCACTCTATTACTGCGGAGGATATAACAATGGTTCAAAGTTATCAACACAAAATCTTAATGCACTATAATGCAAGGTTATGTGTGATATCAGCCACTTACTGAAGATCTGCAGCTGGTAAGGGGTCTCTCAGCTTCAAGGATTAACCTTGAGAGGCGTCCCAGCTCAAGGGGAGATCACCACCATGCAGCCAGCCACTTAGCAGGGAGAGATCGAAAAAGGCTTTCAGGCTGTCATATTTATGGAATAAAGTGGCTGGCTTATAGTGAAATTACATGCGATGGAAAAGGTAAGCACAAGACTCCTTGTACCCACAACTTACTTTGTTCCTTGACAAATGAGTCTTGGCAGACCCACCTGCTATTCCTGTGCTAATTGCATGGTCGGTCTTCCAGTTTCCAAGGCCATATTCATCAGTGCTTAACCATGTTACCCTGTTCCTGTGTGGGTTTTCAGAGAACAGGTTGGCAGTAGAGAAGTTCTTGGCCTAGGCCTTTACTTCTTTTGGAGCCTGAACCAGACCGCCACTATTCTGTTTATTTTAGTGAATTAACCAGCACCAGGCCAAGACCTTGGCACTGGAACATGATCCTTTATACTGATAAATAGTTAGTGTAACCCCTGGTGTATTTTTGGCTGATGCTGACTGGCACTTTCACAAACAATTCCTGGGCATGGTTTGAGAGGGATGTTTACAGATAAGCAGTCAAAAAAAGTGGTTATTTTCCTATTTTTTTTTTTGACATCTTACCCTGTTGTCACCACTGAAATTTCGGGAGTCAATGTAGAATAGATTCAGATAGTTTCAGCTGTGATTTTCATGTTTGCTAATACAATACTCTGCTCTGGTGAGACCTCACCTGGAGTACTGCATCCAGCTCTGGAGCCCTCAGCACAAGAAGGGCATGGACCTGTTGGAGCAGATCCAGAGGAGGGCCACTAAAATGATCGAAGG